GCCGCACCGATAGCAGCCGCTCTGGTCTCCCATCCCGGGCGCAGTCCTAAGCCGGCTGGTGGACAACTGCACGTGCATTCGTTTGCCTTGAAACTCTGTGTTGTCAAGGCCCCTGATGGCCTCCACTGCGTCCTCTGCCCGCTCCATGTGTACGAAGGCGTAATCTTTCACGATGTCACACTCAGTGACTGGACCGTACTCCTCAAACTTGGCCCGAAGCTCTTTGTTGGTACAGGTGGGACTGATGTTGCCTACGTGCAACTTTGTGGAGGTTTTGCTCTTACTCTTGCTGGCTTCCACGTTGATGTTCACCCCGTGCAGCTTGTAGTGGTGCAGGTTGCGTGTGGCATCCTCGGCCGCCGTCTTGTCCTCTATGTGCACAAAGCCGTAGTTCTTAATGATGTCACATTCCAGCACCTTCCCATACTGCTCGAAGAGTGAGCGGATCTCCTGCTCTGTGGCCTCCCGGGGCAGGTTTCCGATGAACAGCTTCACCATCTCGGACACGGCCGCGCAACGCCGAGCACCGAGGTCGGCTCTCACTGAAGAGTGCGGAGGCCACGACCCCACAGGATATCCCTGAAGGCCAAGGAATAGGATAAAATTTAACAGGGCAAAAGAAGTGGAGGGGCTCGGAATCTCTCACCCGCACGGAAAGCAGCAGGGATCTTCCTCGCGGGGCGGACGCTTCTGACAAAACGCTAAAATGGCGGCGGCCTTTTTTTCTTTTTTTTTAAGTTGAAAAACCATTTATTTCACTGGAAAGAAAAAGGTGATCCAACCTAAGCCAAGATAGTCGTTCAAGTTTTATTTAATAATAGAATAATACCCAAATAAAAGAAGAACATAATAGCTCTACTGTTTTCAGTACTACTAGAACGATGTCTCTAGCACTGGATCCATTTCTGTTCACACTGCATTTTAAGAATAAAGATATGACAGCAATCTTGAATAATGTTAACTCCATCATGTGGAATAACCCTTAAACTCATTCTTTTCTACTCCAAAAAACAAAACCAGTATTATTAGTTTCAGGTAACAGGGAACAAAGCTATCTCTTCAGCAGAAGGAAGAAGTGTCTCATAATTAAGAGCTATCCAGAAATGGAATGGGTTGCCTATACAATGAACTTACCATTTTATATCACTACATAGTGAACTTAGCACCTTGGAAGTACTGGAACAGACTCTGAATGAACCAATGTTGAAAGGAGACCTAATGGGAAGGTGTGGAATGAGAGTTTGGACTACATGGACAGTCAAGACCCTTAAACTCCAAAGGCAAAATCAATGAGCTTGAGAAAAGATTTGAGAAGTCAATAGGTTACCGAGAGCCAGGGCAGGTTAAAGGCACTGGATTAATCAAGGTTCTCCAGAGAACCCAATCCTAGAAGAGAGAAAAAAGGAAGCCCAAAAGGCTGAGGCAATCTGGATTCACTAGTTCCTGGTCAGGCCTTTGAAAGGTGTCCTCTATCGAGCGTACAATTCTATGAGCACAACCCCTTGGCAGGAAACTCTGCCTTTTTTTTTTCCTTTAAATACTTTATGTGTAGGTAATAATAATAATAACAGTTATCAGTTATTTAACCATGACCATTACACAATGTTGAGTGCTATGCAAAAGAATGCAACATCTCTTTTCTACCTTCACAGCATCTCTGTGTGAAAGGTCCTATTATTTATTATCCCTGTTTTATAGATGTTATAACATACTCAGGGATACACAGCTATCATGTGGCAGAACCAAGATTTGAACCTGTGTTTGTCTGAGTCCATGGGGCATGCTTTCATTCTAGATTATACTGCTTCTATGTAGAAGGAGAGAGATACAGCCCTACAGTAACTCGTGTGATAAAAGGATCATTCTTTTCTATTACAGGAAAGGGTGTAGAGGTAACTGCTGTTGGCAGTATCCTAATCAAGCATAATCAAATGTTCAATTTTCTCAGCCTAAAGAAAGGCCGAGATCACATTAAGCCGTAATTGAGAAGCTTCAGCATTAATGGAAAATATAATTATACCTGCAGGTTTATGTATCTTTAAGTCTTTCTTTAGTTCAGAGCTTTATGCTTTGATTTTACCAGGTGAACTGTGTGGGTGTGGATCTCGTATGTTTGATTATTTTAAAATCTGGTTTGCAACCCAGTGATCTCAAAGCAAACATCGTAGTAGTAGCAATAGTAGTAGTAAAAGTAATAAAAGTTGTCTTAGTAGAAGTAGTAATAAAATTAATAGCAAACATCCATGAAGTACTTATTATATACCAAACTCTTATTCATGTTTATATCATTAAGTGCTCAGAACAGTTTTATAAAGCTGGTCTTACCATTTCTTTAAGAAACAAACAAACAAATGGGATCAGAGAATTTAGGGAACTTGCCCAGCTAACATATCTAGCTGACTTGAGAACCTCTTATGGAAAACCTGGGGGTACCAAAACTTTTATTTGAATAACTTGAATAGGGCAGTAAAATTCATGTTGGGAAAAATGTTCAATGCATTATTAAATTTTTTTGCTTTGTTTTTAGAACAGAAGCCTCAGATTCTAGGGAGCTGAACTTCAGGCTGAATGATTTATTAATACCATAAAGTTAATGCATTTTAGATTTTTCCTTTGGGAGATAGTTACTGTAAACATTCATACACATAAAATAATAACCCCAATTTAAATGTATCCCAATTAATCAGTCTCATGTTGACTAAATTTAATGAAATGTGCTAAATAGCAATATGTTCTACACAACGCCATTTAAAAAATTGGTCTGAGTGCTTAATTTTATGGTAGTTACTAGTTCAGCAGATTGGACAAAATACTCTTATCGTGTACTTGACCATCAATATCATTAAATACTAGTTTAGCAATTTACTACTGGTTAATGATCCAGGGTATCATGATTGCTCTTTAGGTCTCTCAGGTAAACACAGTCTTTTTAAACTATTGCTCCTTGTGGATAAGATTGTTTAGCATGACTTAATTTAACATAAGGTGATGAAGACTTATAATTTCAAGTTCCATTATCAATTGACAAAGCCTAGATTGGACTCAAAAGAAATGCCAGGCTAGATCCCTGCCGTCTCAGAAGCTAAAGTCTAAGAGGAATGCTATGAGAATAAATAGGCAGGCAGCTTTATAAGCGGCAACATAAGTAATACAAACAACTGAGATGCTAGATAATGAAATTAACATACAGAAACAGTATTCGGGTCTTTATTTTTGTCATCAGCATACGTTTATAGAGCACACTTTGTTTTCAGTGAGCAGCTGTACCATGCGTCCCCTTAAGATACATTGTACACATCAGACTTTATTGTGACTCTGAATTACCTGAAGATCTTGTTAAAATGCAGATTCCGAGTCCATATATCTGGAGTGAGCTTGAGAGTTTGCAGTTCTAGTAAGTCTCAGGTTATGCTGATACTGTTTTTCATCAGATCACACTTTGAGTAGCAAGAGTGTAGGTGATTTTAATAAAATCTTCTCCTTAGCATTTCTCTTTAAAATCTGTGATATCTTATTTAAACATAAGTATGGATATTTGGAGAAATTGTAGTTAGACATAAGTGTAGCCCCACGTTAAAAATGGCAGACTATCAGGAAACAAACGTCTTGTCATTTACCTGAAAACTTTTGGCTGTTCCCATCTAAAAGGGTCATTTTTTAAGGCTAGAAGGTAGTGGGATATCTCCTTTCAGTCCATGTCTTGACTCCTGTCTAAAACTATCCACCTTGGGGCATGAGGTAATCACAAGTTCCTGACGTAGATACCTGTCTTTCAGAAATTACACTGAAACCAACCAATTCATTTTGTTAAACAGTTGAACAGCTGTCTATCGATAATAACTTCTAGTCACCACCAGTTTAGGCCAAATTGGATCCAGTGACCTTTGGGTGAGAAGCTTCATATTCCATTTCCAGTCCCTGGAGCCATCAAAGTCTCCTGTGGGGAAAGTTGCAGTTCATGAATTTCAGCGTGCTGCCTCCAGCCCAAAGTACTGAGATTGTTTCTTACGCTTAGGCTATTGGTTGCTTGTGACATGAATATGAGAAAATGGTGTAAGGATTTGCTTTGGGTTACTTTTTTTTTTCCCTCAGCAGTGCTTCAGTTGGTTAGTATAAAATTTACATAGGCAATTATCTACCTTAGTTAGTGGTAAGAGATTCCTAGTATTTCTAAATAAAGATATGAACGAAAATACCTCTGGTCCATATTCATCATGAAGTCATTTTTTAAACTGAAACTTCCAAATATGAAATTAGCTTTATTTTCTGGGAATAAGAACGTTGTCAGGGAAGATTAGTGGGGATACGTGAACCATTGTAGAAGAAAAATTTTAAATGTTCTCATCTTGTTATTACTGTAACAGTGATGTGGAATAAGGGGAAAAAAACGGTAGGCCGGGCCTGTGGTGGTGTTGTCACTTAGTATTCATTTCTATGAGGTAATCATCTAAATTAATAAGGATTTGCCCTTTTATATGGAGGAGAGAGCCAGTTCCAAATGGCCTCATAAAAAGGAAATTGCTGAATGAAGTCATCACTCTAATTAGCGTTTATGCCCCCGGTGTTAACAGTATACCTTTTTGAAAAATGATGTTCAATACATCCCAACCCACCATACTGAGTAGTGATTGTAGCCTGAGTGCCAGTTTTAATTGTCCTTTCAATATCAATTTAGACAGATCTACTAATAGGGTTGTGTTATTAGATAAATGCCTCTGGTAATTGAAAAAAATGTCATTACTGATCTGGACTGAACAGCTCTTCAGTGTGATGAACAGTAAACTATCAAAGCTTATTCATTCATGAGGCCTATCTACCTATTCGGAGTTCCTTTTCTTGTCTACATTCATACAAACAATGCCATTCTTTAGTTGAAGGAAACTGTTGAATGAAGCTTGCTATCCTCTTCCTTAAAGATTTTGTTCTGCCTTTAGATCAAATTCCATTCCATTGACCTCCCAAATACTGCTCAGATTCTGTAGTGTCGGATGTTTTCTTAAATTCTGCACTCCTAGGATTATCAGTTTGGGCTTGGGAAGTGGTTTTGTTTTGCTGAGGTTTCCGCATTAGTATTTCAGTTTTAATGATACCTGAGGTCTCTTTGTGAAACACACACACACACACACACACCACCCTTTTCATCCAGTCTCCAAACCACCTCTCATCTCTCTTGTTCCCCTCCAATGTTTCCACAATGCAACAAGAACGAATAACCTTCTAAAACCTTAAATGAAATCATATGTTCCCCCTCTGTAAAACCCTTCCAGATCCTCTACTTGGCTAAGGAGGCCCTGTAGGATCTGCTTCCTGTCTGTCTTTCCAGTCGAGTCCTTCTCCACTCCTCTGTGCTCCTCATGCATCACTCGTGTTGACTTTCCTCACTTTCTACATATACCAAGCTCTTCCTGTTCCATAAACTTTATGCTTGTTATTCTTCAAACTGTAACCCTCTTCTCCTGGATCTTCATAGAATAGGCACACTCTCATCCTTCTGGTGTCAGTTTAAACAGTACGTCCGCAGATACACCTTTCTTACCCATCCTATTTCAAGTAGGTTTGTCTGTTGCTCCCTCCTACAGCACTCTGGCATGTCCTTTATTTATCTCATGTATTTGATTAATTTTTAACATCTTTTCTCCTCTGGACTCCTGACTTCCCCAAGGACAAGTGCTTTTGCTGGGCACATAATAAATGCTCAATTAATGAGTCAAT